CAAACACCCAATGATAAATGTAAATGAATTGTATACCTAAAATGTACCAAAAAAAGAACAAAAAAAAAAAAAAAGGAAAGAAAAGAAATACCAAGCAGATTAGTAGAGCCACTCCTGGGTTTGTCTGGGTGAGTCATGGGTTGTGGCCTTGAGTGCCATATGTGGTTCTTATTGGTGCTGTTCTCCTGCTCTGTTCCCCAACTGCTATAAACTAAGTAGCCTTGCTCCACCATGCCCTTCTGCCATGGTGTTCCTGCCTTGGAGCCATGCACCTGTGTACTCAAACCCCTGCAACCATGAGCTAAATTAAATTCTTTCCTCCTCTAAGTTGTTGGTATCGAGTACTGTGTCTCAGCCACAAGAAAGTTGACTAGTACTGGTGTTCAATGGATAGAATTTCAGTTGGGGAAGATGGAAATGTTCTGGATGCTGAGTTTACAACAATGTGAACATACTTTATGTTACTGAACTATCTACCTAAAAATGGTTGGCATGGTAAATTGTATTTTATCTGTATTTTACCCCAGTTAAAATAATTTTTTACCAAGAAAAAAAGAATGCGAGATCTAAAGGTGAATTCACTTTTAATTTTAACAGATACTTTTGAAGTGCCCTCCAGACACTGTGGACTAATACTTTGTTCCCATTACAACTTGTGGGAGGGCCCTTCTCCCACAGCCTCTGCAACATGACCATTGTCGGTCTTTTCTCCATCATGATTTGGTAATGGTGAATGAGAACACAAGGACAAAAACTAAAGTGTAATGAAAGAATGTCCTGGCCCCATCAAATACTCTAGAGAATGTCAGCCTCATCCAGATACTGCAGAACGGCTACAAAGCAAATTTGGGTTGCAGCTTTCTACAGGGTAGGTGTAGATCAGTGTGGATGCCTTCAGAAACTCCAGTTATTCTAGGGTTCTCCTCCATCCCACTCCTAACCTTAAAAAATGATGACTCTCAGAATCACAGACTGGCCTACATATTTTCTTGAAACAGCTGTCCCATAGAATAACTCAAACTTGGGTTAAAAATAATCTCAGCCTCTAAAGGGAAACTAGATTCTTGGGAACAAAGCCTTCTTTTGAAATATCCCTACCTCCATGGAGGGCACACAAAGCATTGTCCCCAGAGCTCTTCATTGCTTGTGACCACACCTTCCTACCCTGAAAATGAATTCCTACTTTAAATTTTTTCTTGTTTTTTTTTTTTTTTTTTTTGGTACTGGCGATCGAACTCAGGTCCTTCCGCTTGTGAGACAGGCAGCGGAACCACTGAGCTAAACCCCCGACCCTCATATTTTTGGTTTATGTATGGAAGAGAGGCAGGGAGGGAGGAGGAAAGAGGCAATTACAACCAAGCTACAAGCTTAAAACATTATTCCCATTTTACAAATTCCCTCAGAGATTTTAAAAAAGGTGTCTGAATTCACATCAAAGAAGAAAGCAAATTTTTAATTTTAGGTGTCACTTCAAAGATCCTATAGTGATAGTACCCTGATTTCTTATTGCAATCCAACCTCCAAAAAAACTATTCAGATAATCAGGTTGTGTTGCCAATGAAAAGAGTGGGATTTAGACAACATCCAGTAAAGCCAGTCTCAACAGCCTAGGAAAGCTATTTGTGGCAGAAAGGAGAGCAGTTATTTCTTGCTGCCTTGATTTATCCATCCTTTGACTCATGAACTTAAGGATGATCCCAGAGACTCAGATTTCTAACAATTACACAGAGACAGAGACAAGAGACAGAGACACAGAGAGGTATTAGGCATTGAGAAGATTTTGATGGTTTCATGATTTCTGACTTTTCAGGGAGAACCTTAGCCAATCTCGTAGTGGGCCACTTTCTAGCTATCCAGTGGGCCCTCACCAGGTGCTGAGGCTTTGTGCTAAACTGCAGCACAACAAGGTCATCTGCCACTGTGACTAAACAGTGCTTCCTGAAACCAGTGGAGTTCCTGATAAGGACATGATGGGAGTAGACTACACATAACTTTTCCCAGGGACTCTTGTCTTTTTCTTCTGCTTTTGTTGTTTAACTTAGAGCCATATAAAAATACTGCATAGTTTAGGAAAACAGACTAGGGGGATAGCTTCAATAGTGGTACAGCTCACAAGCCATCCACTACTTTGTAAGCAACCACTAATAAACTCATTTACTCGCCAAGCTGGACTTGTCAGAGTCATCCTTTGGACTCGTAGTGCCTTCCCAATTCAGAGGCAGATGTTTCTTTACATTTCCCCAGGAAATTCACAGAACAGTCCTACAAAGACTGTGAAGGAAATGCACAAAGAGAAAAAGACTATGAATAATGACATGATATTGTGTTGTTAGCTAAATTCTATGCCCTGAACCTACAAAAAGTACATAAGGCCCCCTCACAATCCCATTTAATACCCAGGAGCCCCCTGCCTAAATAGTCATGAGCCTCTTCCTCTCTGATGTGCTGTGTTCAAGGGAAGGAGAGGAGGCAAAGGTGACTGTTTGGGGAGGAGAGGATGAAGACAGGGAATGAGCTGGGATGTGTGACTGCAGTGTCCACAGACATGCAAGGGGGTCATTTCATGATGTAAGATGAAACATAGGATAGAAAGAGAAAGGAGAGGGGACATCTTCATTTGTATTCTTGCCGCAGACATCACAAATGTCAGGATCAGACCTGTCATTATGTGACAGCCAGTAGTGTTGGATGTCAGTGGCCCTGAGGAAACAGAACTTACGAGTTGAGTGGAGAAAACCTTTTATCATTGGTCCAAAGGGCTCACTCTTCCTGCAGGTTGCCCTGGCAACCAAGTCTCAGCTGTTGATGAAGCCTGCACAGTCAGCTAGTTGCTAGGTTGCCAAGATGGCAAACATTTGATTCCAAGGGCAGGTACTAGGATCCCTTCAGAGTTCTAGGGTCCTAAGCACTAAGCTACTAGGATCCTTACCAGGCCAGGGAAAGAGGTGGATGAAACCCTTTCCTTCCAATGACAAGTTGCATAATACATGGGCCCCAGTAGAGAACTCTGCTCTGCCACCTACTTGCTCTCTGGCCTCAGGCACATCTCTTACTTTACACTTATGTACATAAATTAGAAGTTGTCAGTCTATATTGTGGAAAATTGTTGTAAGATTTAAAGATCACATATACAACAGGCCTAACAGTACCTGACACACAGTAGGCCCTCCCTTGGGTTATCTATTGCTTATAATAACTCACCCTAAAACTTAATAGCTTATTATTTATTAAATTTCATGAGTATGGGGGTCAGAAATGTCATGTCTCAGTTAGTGGTCATGCTCCATTTGGCATCAGCCAGGGCACTGGCTTGGCTACATTCAGCTAGCAACTGGGCTGAAAAATAACCAAGTTTGTTTGAAAAACAAACTTCACTCACATGAAGTCCCTTGCGGCTCCTCCACCTACCTTCTGCACATGACTAGCTTGGGTTTGGCACAGCTTGGCGGTTGCAGAGTACCTGGATTACCCAAAAAGTTACCAGGCTTTTTAGATACAAGACCTGGATTTGACAGGGTAAAGCAAGTTATAGGAGAGGGAAAACAGACTCCATTCTGGATAAGTAGAATGAAAGTCTAGATGAACTCAGGGAAGAGGCAGGCACCAGGGTGCATCATGACCAATAAGGAACCACATTTACACTCGATACAACATAATGGGGAGGGAGAAAACTTCAGAGAGATGACTCAGTTGTTCAGCTACAGAGACCAGACCAGATGCCTCGGGTCTCCCAGCATTGCCAAGTTCAGCTTGGAAAGAGAAAAGTCAGTTATTATGTCAGTTTATGGCAACTATGAAGAATGGAAGGAGAAATGGCTTTCCTCAGTTTACCCGTACCACATAACTTCTTAATACTTAAGAGACCCTAAGGAAGCAGAGGATTCCCCAACAATGACTTAGGTTGTCCTTCCCCTAGAGGGAATAGAGTTTAGAGTAGGATTTAAGTTAGTCTTTTAAAAACATTATTTGCACTACTGACATTCGTATACAGTGGTACCTTGGTTCCCGAACTCAATTCTCTCCAAGATTCTGGTCACACACCAAACTGTATGAGAACCAAATCAAATTTTTCCTTGAGCTCAACATTGAACCTAACCATTCAATTTGGTTCTATTCTTGTCCAACTCAGTTAGTGACCAGAAATGTGGAAAGAATCAAGTTCATGAACTGAGATATCACTGTATATCTCATTATTGTTAGATTATTAGACACCAGGATTATTAAAGCCATACTGAAACCAGTGAGAAACACAGGAAACTCATATGTAATGCCATTTATATTTAAAAATAACAATTATATGCCTCATGAAACGCTTCCTGGAGTATTGAGTAAAATCTGTAAGTTGTTTTGCTGCAGTTTTAAGACTGGATGATCACAGGCTTGATCATTTTCCTGAGCCACAGGACTAATCCCCTTGTTTAGCCTGGAAGGCTCTTTCTGTGAGGCTCAGCTGATGGAGTACAAGCCTTGTTCACCTACTGGCTTCATTTCTCTCACATTTCACCATGTGCCCTGGAAACTTGGGACTCCAGCCCCTTTGAGGGGTCCAGTAGAATCTGTTCTGTAGCAGTAAAGAAATTGACAGCTGACACATTCTGGTCATGAGCAGGAGCCCTTGGTGGCCTATAAGAATTAATATTTCCTCTTGCACACTATCTGAGAGCAGGTGTAACGTAAGCACTAAATTGCACAGAGTACTATTTGTGTTCCTGTAGTAGTTCAGTGTAGGGTGCCCAGTAAATGTGGGGCTCATTTTAAACCATAAGTTTCTACTCTTGAGGAAACTGAGGCAAGGTAGCTAGGAAAGAATCAAAGTATTGTATCTTCAGACCTGGTGTGGGTATAAGAATACAGGAGCTGGGACTCCTGTAGGTAAACTATAATTCTCCGGGTAGTGAAGGGTGAGGGCAGAGAAGAGAGAGGAAGCTCCCAGCTTCAGAAGCAGTGCTGGACTGGGGTGGGCAGCTGTTTGGTTCTCTCCTTAGGGACCACAGGCCAGGCTGCTCCTGCTGGGTGAAAGGAGAACACACATAAGTTCCCTTTCTGGGCATACCACTATCCTATAGTAAAACATTACTGCCAGAAGACAACTGAAAGGTTGAAAAGAATGAGCTTTCTGAATTCCCAAGGGCTGGTACACTTTATACACTATTAGGTGGGAGTGAAGGAGTTGAGAAAGAATTGCTGGCAAATACTATTGACCTTAGAGCCTGAGTCCTTAGTGGAAAAAGTGCTGACTGGCATCAGAAAACCGAGGTCCAGGTCTCAGCCCTGTCCCAAATGGCTTTGTGACCCAGGGTAAGTTATGTCATATCAGCCTTCCTTTCTGAAGATTTTTTATTTAGAAGATTAACTGCCCCTGAAAACTTACTCTCTTGACTGCAGAGATAGGCAGTAGTTACATCTGTGCTTCTTCAGCAGCTGGATGCAGAGGGATACCTATAAGGTAAGTTAGTGGGTAATCACAACAAAGACCCAACATGATGGAATCTCCCATGTAGACAATAATTAATACAGCAAGCCTGACTACTATCCTTTGAAAACCTTGCTTGCAAGATGGGCCCTTGGCCAATGTCCGGAACTTGAACGTCAAGAGGGTTCCTACCATTCCCAGAACTGGTGAGAATGACCAGCAGTGACTAAACTGTTTATATAAAAATTCAGTTTTTGTTGAACACCTTCTGAGACTCTGGGACTTTGACATGTGCTAGCCAGAAGATGCCTATATGGGTAACTACCAGTAAAAATGCTGAGCACTTTACCAAGCCTCCCTGACTGGCAACATTTCATACATGGAGAATTAAGTATGTTCCTCTGTGACTCTGAAAAGGACCTCTGGAAGCTTGCAGTGGTATTCTTTTACTGTGCCCTATGCACAGTTTCCCTGTACTGAGTGTCTTAATAATGAATCAGTCATGACTACAACTATATGCTGAGTCCTGTGAGGCCTCCAAGTGAATTACTGAATCTGAGCATGGTCTTAAGGACCCCTGACACACATCCCCATCCTGGATTTCCAGGCAAGATAAGGCAAGGTCTGGGACACCAAAAGTCCTTCTACCAGGCTGGGCTTCAGAACTCAAGGCATTAATGGCCATTACTGATCCTTCTGTTGAATTCCATACTTCTCTTATAGCCTCAATAACCAACTTTAAGGACCCTAACTTGTTGTGGAGATAGGTTCTTGGGGAAGCATCTTTTAGACAGTTCTACTGAACAGATCAGCAGGATGGTCCATCCCAGTGCTGAGCCTCTTTAATCTTGAGCAGAGAACTGAACATTTTGCTCTGATGTCCTGCTTGCCCCACATATGTTCATAGCACCAAGACCTGAGAGTATTCAAACAGCTTACAGAATCATTCTGTGTTAAAACCAATTTCTTGACCAAATGTGTCAAGACCAATGTCTCAAAAGGGAAAGTGAGGGCCTGCTTGGTACCTTGCTACCACTCCTATGCAGTGTAAATTTCTATCACTGTTGTTATTTCATGTGTTCCACACCAAATGATGAGGTCCCTCAAAGGAGGGTGCTGCACTCATATCTGACTTACCCCGGATTACACAGTTCATTAGGAGCAGGAGACAGATTAGATTTCCAGAGCTATGTTCATTTCTATTAGAAAACCTGAAGTGGAGCACTGACAATACATACAGTACAAAGTCTGCATATTCATGAACATCCAAATTGGAAATAATGTGTACACAGCTGGCACTTTAAAACATTGCAACCAGCTATGAGTTCCTGAAAATAAAGCACTAAGCTTTATATTTCTGACCCTGGGTTTCTTCATTTCAGGAGGCACAGAAAGCTTCTGCTTTGGCCAGCATCAATTAGCTGGCCAGAAGGGACCAACTCTAAAATGTACCCCGTTTCTTTTCATTGAGATAAGAAATAATCAAAAGGACAGCATGTAAGAGAAATGATTTAACTTTATAAAAATGTGACAATACAGCAAGATTTGATTGTGTTCTTTTTTCTTTCCATTTTTTTCTGGCAAGTAAAGTTTATAAAAAAAAATACCTGGCATAAAAATTAGAAACATAACATAATAAAAATTAGAAACATAAACTTTCAAGCAAATGAGTCACTTAGACAATGAAAGAAAAACAATAAGCAGCAAAAGCAGCAGCAGAAAAATTGGTTTGTTCTGAGGACAAAACCACCAAAGGGTGGGCTAATGCGGCAGTAACCATCAAGAGGCATGAAGGCTTCCTGAATGGGACCAGACCAGATGGCTGCTGGCTCAGTGGACAGAGGGGGAACAGAGGGGCCTCCTGCAAAGAGGCCTACATCCAACCCCCTCTTATAGGGTCCACCAGCCACATGGCAGTGATTCATAGGCCAATCTTGAAGAAATGGCACTGAAAGTTTGGCTTCCTCTTTTGTCCACTTGTTCCTAAACTCCAATTCTGCAGGTCACTATCCTACTATCAGCAAATGTCAACCTAGGTTTGGGTGACAAGCTTGCTAGGGAGAGCCAAGAAATCTAGATGTACAGGGCTTCATACAAAACACTTTTTTGGAAAGTATGCACCATAGCCAAGGCAGAGCTAAGACCACCTTGGAGAGGCAGGCTAGAAATTCCCCCAGCTACTCTCTCCTAGAGGGAAAGGCCTTCCAAAGGATGCTAGTGAATTCTTAATTACATTCTGAGGTAGTCTAACCTGACTTGCACAGGTAGCTGAGAATGATTACAAACAATGGAGGGAAGGAGGGCAGAAAAGTTCCCACAGAGAGAAAAGACCAACAGATATAACGGAAGGAACTACACTACATCACGAGTGGGCTCAGAGATGAACAGAATGCACTCTGGCCTCTGGAATGGCTGGTGGTAGGGCCCCAGAGGGACCCTGGGGACAAACGGCTTTTGTACTACTTGCTGTTGCAGCCATATGA